GTTTCTTTCCACCCGCCGGGAGCCGGGGGGAGGGGCGCTCCGGTCCTGCCGGGCCGGGGCTTGTATCTTACCCCCTTTGCAAGGCGCTGGGTTCTTGCAGGTGTGGATGTGGTCTGGATGTTGTCCTGTGTCCTGTGGTCTCTATTTTAGGAAGATTTTTCTTTGTTATATTTTCATAGCTCTATGTGTTTTGGGTAGGAGATTTCCACTGCTCTACTCATGCCGCCATCCTGGCTCCGCCCCCCTACAAACAGATTTTTTAAGTAACTGTTTTGGTGGTCATGAATTCCTTCTACTTAGATTGAAGAAAAGGCAGAAACTTCAGGACATTCTTTTTTATTTTCCTGGACTCTGAGGCATTTGATGCAATGGACAACTTCCTCTTTCTCTTGTCTTTCTTTGTGTCCTTGACCCTGGCAGCCCTTTTCTACACAGACTTGCAGCCATAACCACTATGCCTCCATCTTCAAAGAGTCCCTGACCCAACAGAGCTTATTTCCTGAGCATCTTGGGTGCTCCTTTCTGGCATGGAGCCCATGGACTGAATTCTGAGTTTATGACCTTTTCCCCAATGAAATCTCCATCCTGACCTTCTCTGTTTTTAGACATTTAGTGATTATTCAAGATTTAACTTTTCTTCTTTTTCTTGCCTTCCAGATAATCCATCACTAAGTCTTATAAATTTGTGCTTCTTTTTAAAATTTCCAATACCTCACTATGAAATAATGGATAGGAAGCAGTCTTAGGGGACAGACAGACCCAAGGTTAAAACCTGGTAAGTTACCTCTGCTTTTTCTAACAAATTACCATTTATGTCTCTGTTTCCTCATCTCTAACATGGACATCAAGTACATACTTCTGGAGTTGTGAAGACACATTGGATATACACACCCTTTAAAACTCCATTTTTCTTTGACCTTGGTTGGAGGCATCGTGGCTCCTCCAGCTGATGTGGCTGCAGCTGCTCCTGTGGCTTCATCACCTCTCCACAAGTTCCCTGGGACTCTGCCTCTCCCTGCATGCCACAGCCCCTGGCTGAGCCCTGGAGGGCTGACTGCCACTTTCTTCCAGGACTCAGCTCTGTGGCAGTGTCAAATTGTCCTCTAAAAGCCAACCACCACCTTTTCTCTTTGTTAGCCCTAGAAGTTGTGTTTTAAGGAAGAAAACACCCCATTAAATGAAGCACCCCAGGCCACCTCAGGGTCTGGAACCTGGGTCCTGAGCGAGCTGCTGTCTGATAGAGCCAATTGAGAAATGACCATTCTGGGCACAGCTTGGGGTGTCTGCTCCTTACAAACATCACACGACCATTGTAGGGCCCTCACTGGAGGGAGCAGGGCAGGTCCCCACTCGGGGGACCAAGCACCTGATGAGATGCCAACGAGGCCACCACCGAGGCTGGAAGTCAGGGAAGGCATTAAGAGCAATAGGGTCGTAGCTGCTGAACCAGACACCTTCTCCGTGCTGGTCTTGGCCACTGTGTCTTCCTAAGGACCTGGAGATGCCAGTGCGAGTCAGGATTCTCAGGCCTCCCAGGATGGGGTCAGTGGGCTCCAGGCTTGCTGCCCCCATCCTAGCCCATTTCAGCCTCAGCCCACAGCCCAAGGGGCCTCTGCTCATGTGCGAGGCCACCACACCCATGGGCCTGTGCTCTGTCGCCCTGCTCCTGCACCCTCTGGCAGGGGACTACCCTCTGGTGATGAGGTCCAGCTGGGAGCACCAAGCCGGGGTGAATGGCTGTGCGGGTGAGGAATGGGCGGGATGTTCTAGCAGGCCTGTGCATGGGCTCCCACACATGCGTCCTCTGGGCCTCATGGCCTCCTCGTTCTGCAAAGAGAATGTGACTAGAGGATGGCCTGAGTGCGATCTTCAAGTGCAGGGCCTAGAGGACAGGCCCTCTCCTGGCTAAGGTGGTGTGCCTAATCTGACAGACACAGGGAGGAAAATTCCTGAAAACCAAAGAAGATTCCAGGAACCTCCATAAGGTGATAGAGAAAAGAGCATTTTTTAATTGAGAAATGACCCTGGTTCTCTCTCCAAAGATACAATGGTCAGTGTCCCCGCCAGAGGCAAAGAACTGAAATGCAGAGGCCCCTCCCAGGCTCCTCTTCTGTGGAGCATGCATCCAGCCACGCTGTTGGCCAGGTGATTCTGACTGCTGGAGATGCTGACTGGCGGCAAGGGCCGCAGCTGTCCATCCGTTTCCTGAGTCCCCCCCAGCGTCTGTGTTCTCTGATCACTCCTGTGCTGGCTGCTACTGAGACCAGTTCTTGTAACTCAGGCATGGGCTGAGTTTCACAGGCCACCTGCGAGCTCCCCAGACTCTCTGACACCAAGTCGGGGGTCTGGGTTCCTAGGAGCCATCAGAGATGCAGCCAAGCATCCCCCCAGGGCCAGTGTGACCTCCAATTGCCCTGACTTGGGAGCACCTGGGAGGCGGCGAGTAGTAGCATGCTCCGAGTGCTGGGGACGCCTGCTGTCATGTCTTCTGTCTACATTGTCATGCCTGAACCACTGAGGGTCCTTCCACTCCAAAGTGAGAAGTCCTGCTTACATGACAAGGAGTGGGGGTGGCTGTGAGCATGGAGGCAGGGCGCCAGTGCCAGACCCCAGCACTCGCTAGCCCCCAGACCTGGGAAAGTTCTACAAATCCCCTGGAGCCTCTCTTCAGCGTGGATGCTCAGGACAGCATGCAGGGTGTGGGGTGGCCTGAAGCTCAGAAGGCCCGAGGTCCAGGATTGGACACAGACGCGCTCTTTGTGCATGTGAGCAGCTGGTGACTGGGTCACAGAGAGCAGCTGGTGGCTGAGTCACAGAGAAGGAAGCCCCTCAAAGCTCTGTTCCTGGTCTTCCCGGGGAGGATATTCATGGTTCCTGCCTCCCAAGGTCATTGGGAGGATGCAGTTCATACATGCAGGACACACAGGGTTATTCCACTTGCTTTGGGCCAGCTTCTGGGAGAAAAACCCAACCCCTGTAGTTTGGAGCAGAGGGACAGGTGAAATCCAGGCCCGGGAAATCAAAAGGCAGCATCTGGGCAGGTGGAGCCCGTCCCAGTGAGAAGACCCAGGGCCGCAGGGCACCCAGTCATCCTGCGTCTTGGCCGAAATCCATTCTGCTTGCATCTGTCACCAGTCCCAGTTTTTGTTGGGTGAAGGAAGTGGCAGGTATGAATCCCCCTGATATCAGGGTCCCAGTGTCAGGGAAACCAGGTCCCCAGGTTCTGCTCCTTTTCTCCACAAATAGCCCTCCTGGGCCATCCCCATAACCATCCTCTCCCACCCATCACCTCCACCTGGATTTCTGCTGGAGCCTCTGCCTGCTGAGCCTTGGCCATTAGTAGTGACCCAGAGTTAAAGGTCAAACTTATCCTGATGGTTGGCTAGTTGGTGTCCCACTGACAGCAGCTGGTTTGATGTACAGGGGGAGCTGGGTCAGACATGAGCCATGGGGGTCGATCTGCACACATGGCTACACTTCATAAGAACATTTTTGCATCGATACTAACTCACGGCAGAGTAACATGCAGGCAGAGTGCAGTGGAGCAAAGAAGTGGCCCCGATCCAGGTTAAGGGCCTGTGATCCCTGAAACAGACACACACGTCTCCTGTCCACAGCCTCTTTCTGAGAAAATGTCATCAGCACAATGCTGGTGAGAGTCCCAGAGCTCGGCCAGCCCTCCCCAGCACGAGACATAGACTGACAGCAGCTGACAGCAGCTGCTCTTGTAATGGGTTCGTTCTGCGCCTCTGTGTTTCTCGCCAGAATGTGCTTTGGTTCAGTTTAACTAAGTAGATAAAAAATTGCTTCCCTGGCTGGAATTTTGAACAGTGATTCATGTCGGTGGAAGTGCTTATAATTAAAAACAGTCACAACAAAAGGAGGCATTGGAACATATGAGTCCCGGCCAGTCGCCGAGCCCAGGAGTGCCCGCTATAATGACAGCAGATGTGAGAGCAAATTAAATTTGCAGTTTACTTGTGCCCCCTTACCAGGGGTGGGCACTCCAAATTGTTGGGTTTATGCAAATGATTGTTAAGTGGAATGCCTTTCCTGGAAATGATTATGAATCTTTAGAGTCATTAGGATGTCAAAAATATATAGGTGTGCAGAGACTGTAATGGGGTATGTGGGGGGGACTTGGTGAATATATATATATTGGCCTGCCCTGACAGAGAAGGCACATGAGGGAGGGTGACTTATGGGCAGATGGTGAGTGTCAAGTTTCACTTGGCGTGGGGACATCAAGTGGCAACAGGTGACACTAGCATGGATGAATAAGGACAGCAGATTCCTATGCTTCAGAGCACATGCTCCTCTTCCAGCTGAGGTCGGGCTGGTGTCATGGGGTCGCACAGAACCGTCCTGGTCAAGAGGGCTGGAAGATGTGACTCCCACAGAGCTGTCAGCAGCCAATGGTGCTCAAAGCCAGCGCCTCCTGTCAACACCATAACTTGAAGGCTGTGAAAGTGCACTCTGAATATCTCCATGTATTCAAAAATATCTTTCCAAATCCTTTCATTGGCTTAGTGCCACGCGAGCAGGTACCCAGGATGTTGCTACTGTGGTGAGTTCCCAGGTGGAAATGCTTCCCAAGAGGATGTCCAGTGAGATTTAGGGGCCTAGAAAGTGCAGGTCAGATGCAGAAGCTTGTCCTTGTGCTGGCTCGGAGCCCCGCTGGGCTGATGCAGGGGGGCCGGAGGTGAGAGTGGCTGCTCAGGGCTGTCTGGAGCCACATCCTGCTGAGATTCTGTCAGCTCCTCCCACTCACAGTCCCCCTCATCTCAGCCTGTCTCAGCCCCACACGCACTCTCTTCCGCATGGAGTTTACAGGGCGCACAGTCCCGAGGGGTTCCTGTTGCCTGTGAACTGGTCCTGGAGAAGAGGAGGCCCCTTTGAGGTAAGGCAGTGGGCTGCTGTCAGGAAAAAGGACCTGCCTGAAGGCCAGGCCTGGCATCCAGTGGCAGCTCTGCAGCTGGCCTGGCAGGGCAGGATGCCCCTGGGTCCCACCCATGGTGCAGACCCCCGGGCCTGCGCCTCTTGGCCACGAGACTCCCTGCCTGGCCGGGCAACAGTGCCCTGTCAGACGCAGCCCAGCCTGGCCGCTTTGGAGGCTCCTGGTGCAGGCGAGCTGGGAATTGATCTGCCGCCTGCCTGGGGCCTGAAGGTCCACGGGGTGGGAGCTTCCAGGTCCCCACTAGGCAGAGCTGAGATGGGTAGGGCGCTGTAGGTGGTCAAGGCCCAGTGTGGTAACTGGGCGGCAGTGCTGATGACGGCAGAGGCAAAGGGGCCCACTGTGCCCTGGCCCTGTGCCCCCGTGGACGTGCATCCGGGGCTGCACATTGCTCTGTCCCAGGTCTTCATCCTTGGTCCTGTGCAGAGGGAGGTGAGCACACGGAGCGCCTCTCATCACCCTGGTGCTGTTGCATGGTGCCTTCCTCCTCTGGACCCACTGCCTCCTGCTGGGAGGTCGGCCCAGGAGGACAGAGCCACTTTTGGGGTCTCTGAAAGACCACCAAGTAGATTGTTGTAAAAAGCAGACAGACAGGGTGGCTTGAATGACAAGCGTATCAGCTCAGTCCAGAGGCTGGAAGCTCGCACTCCAGGTGCAGGCAGGGCTGGCTCCTTCTGAGGCTGCGAGGGGGAAGCGGCCCTGGGCCTCTCCCAGAGTGTCTGGTACCTGCTGGCGCTGTGGGGCACAGCTGCTGGGCACATCAGCCCAATTCCTGCCTTCGTGCGCACAAGGCATTCTCCCTGTGTGTTTCTCCCTGTGTGCATGCTTGTGGCCCAAATTCCCCTTGCTGTAAGGACACCAGTCCTGTTGGATTAGGGGGAAAGAGGTTTTTAGACACTTTTGGTAATAATTTTAATTTTTAATAACTTTCCCCATAGAAAATGGAAAATGTCAAAATCCTTGCTTCTCAGATTTAGTTGTATTTATCAATAAGACATACAGAAGATGGGATGGAGAGTCAGAAAGCCCTGTGGGGAGGGACAGAGGGCTGTTGTGCAAGGGGTTTGCTGGCCCCGAGCTTAAGCTCACGGTCTCCCGAGAAGCATCCCGCCTGTGTGATGGGGAATAGCTGTCGACTCCTCTCTCTGCTCTGTCTACCTCAGGCTATGCAGTCAGAGAGCCTTACACACTTCAGTTATGACCTTCAGTGGAACTGATATTATAAATTGGTTTTCTTTCCTTAAATCTTCACAGAGGATATTGTGTATTAGGCTCCTAAATCAGGTTCTGTGAACATTTATTGAGCACTTACTGTGCAGCAGGCAGCCTACTGGAGTCTTGAGGGCCTGGGCATGGCTGCAAGGTAAGTGGGTGAATTTCAATTTACTGGGAAGAGTGAAGCAATGTGATTTGCAGGAAGGTCAGGAGGAGACAGGTGAGTCATGTCTGGGGGGAGGAGAAGGAAACTTAGAGCTGTTAGGAAGGGTGGACATCGCCTCAGTTGTGATTGGAAGGGTAACGGGGAGGAAGGTGCCCCGGGACCCCTGGGGTCGTCCAAAGCCGAGGCGCGGGAGGGAGTGCTCTGGACTGTTCATTCCCTGGATGCAGTTTAACTCAGCCCAGAGACAAACTTTCCCCATAGAAAATGGAAAATGTCAAAATCCTTGCTTCTCAGATTTAGTTGTATTTATCAATAAGACATACAGAAGATGGGATGGAGAGTCAGAAAGCCCTGTGGGGAGGGACAGAGGGCTGTTGTGCAAGGGGTTTGCTGGCCCCGAGCTTAAGCTCACGGTCTCCCGAGAAGCATCCCGCCTGTGTGATGGGGAATAGCTGTCGACTCCTCTCTCTGCTCTGTCTACCTCAGGCTATGCAGTCAGAGAGCCTTACACACTTCAGTTATGACCTTCAGTGGAACTGATATTATAAATTGGTTTTCTTTCCTTAAATCTTCACAGAGGATATTGTGTATTAGGCTCCTAAATCAGGTTCTGTGAACATTTATTGAGCACTTACTGTGCAGCAGGCAGCCTACTGGAGTCTTGAGGGCCTGGGCATGGCTGCAAGGTAAGTGGGTGAATTTCAATTTACTGGGAAGAGTGAAGCAATGTGATTTGCAGGAAGGTCAGGAGGAGACAGGTGAGTCATGTCTGGGGGGAGGAGAAGGAAACTTAGAGCTGTTAGGAAGGGTGGACATCGCCTCAGTTGTGATTGGAAGGGTAACGGGGAGGAAGGTGCCCCGGGACCCCTGGGGTCGTCCAAAGCCGAGGCGCGGGAGGGAGTGCTCTGGACTGTTCATTCCCTGGATGCAGTTTAACTCAGCCCAGAGACATTCCTGGCTGGGCAAGGCAAACCAGGTTCCCACTCGCCCATCCGGGGCGGGACCCTGGTGGTGTGCAGGCAGGATCATCCTGGTAGACTGTCGTGTAGCTTTGAGCATGTGTCGTTGATAAATGAATGTATCGACTAATCACTTTTTCATTTCTCTTTGGAAATGTTGCCCCATCTTCAAATAATTATTATTAATTTCCATTCAAGCCACACGTGGAACTTCTTATCCAAGCACTGTGAGACACCATCAGCCACAGAGCACCCCCACCCATACATGATGTGGTTGTACATCCTGCCGGTGGCAGAGGTGGCGGTGTCCATGCCTTTTCTGCATCTGTCTCTGCAGGGCACCTTGGGAATCGCAGGTGAACGCGCTCTCTGTGCGCCTGCCAGGCTTCTGGACAACCACTCGGTGGAAGCTAGAGTTCATCTTCTAGCAAGATGGTGGGGGCCCAGGCCTTCACACAGCTGTCTCTCCCCTGCGCAGACGTCCCCCTGTGAGGATGGCTTTTCAGATGCCTGGCAGAGAAGATTAACTGCCAAGGTAATAAAGGCGACTGCATTTAATCATTATCCTAATTAATGCATTTATTGCAACTCATGCTGTTCAGGCTGAATGTAATGAGTTAGAAGGAAGTGAGGGTCACAGGGATCCAGTGTTTGCACCCAAAGGTTAATTAACCTGGATATTATCCGGGAGACGACACCATCGTGTGCTGGCAGGGAGAGTCACGGGGACAGTGCTAGGCACATGCGCAGCCTGCATATAGAGCAAGGTCGCAGGAAGGGAGACATTTGGCTGATGGACTGTTGCCTTTGAAAGAATGTTAATGTGGATATTGACTTAATTCAACACTGAGCACATTATACTTGGAAGCTTCTAGTAAATGAGAAGTGAAAGAAGAGGGTAGCTAAGCAGGACCCTAATTTGAAAGTTGCCTGTATGCTACAGCTGGGATGAAAAACAGACTTAGCCTTGGTGTCTGCCCACGCATGGATCTGGATTCATATCTGACACCCTGGCGCAAGGGGCTCTCTTCTAACAAAGCCACTGAGAGACCTCGATGGCGGGTACCCCCAACACACTGGGGGAGCTTCCAAGTTGGTGCATCTGTACACGGTGTTGGTGAAGGGTCGTCCCAGATCTCAGAGCGTGCGGCGCCTCAGCTCCGTAAAGCCTCCTGTGCAGTTTATCAGCAACAACGCTGAAATCAGCTCGGCCAATCCCGGGAAAAGCAGGAAGAGAAACAGCTGCCCTTCTCTGGGCGGGAACTCCCGAGGGACTGGAGATGAGTTTACTGGGGTGATAACCGGCTTAGCAAAAGCAGAAATAAAAGGAACTCCCCCGCCAGCTCCAGAATCAAAACAACAGGATGGAGCACAACTTAAGAAAATGCACACCGAGAGCTTTTAAAACACACGTGTAGTTAGGCTCAGCAACTGCACTTACAAAAATGTTATCCTAGAGAAACAACTGCCAATATTCATGAATATTTGGCCATAAGATATTCATTATACCAGTTTTAGTAAAAATCCATTGACAGCTCTGGTTTTATGATTTTTGGTAGAAAAACCTTGCTAATGTGTAAATCTACATCGAGCGATTGCCTAATTCTCCGTGGACACCCACCTATCACTTCCTTCAGCTGTGATGCTAACTACCCAGAGCCAGCGCAGACCCGGGGGTGCGTATCAGGCCCCCCGGGAACTGACCCCATGGCACCTGCCAATCCAAGCCCGGATTAGCCCCGGCACTTGGAGCCTGGCTGCAAACCGGTGCTTCCCCAAGCCCTCCTCAGGTTTGGTAATTTGTTACAAAGGCTGGCAGAACTCTGGGAAACACTTCAGTTTATCAGTTTGTTATAAAAATATACTGGAGGATACAGGCGAACAGCCCAGTGATGCGGTCCATAGGGCGAGGTCTAGGAGGGTCTGTGGGCATGGAGCTGGGGCACCCCACCCTCTCAGCACACACATGCATCTGCTGATCCAAACGCTGTCTGAACCCCACAATCCAGGGATGCTTTACAGAGGCAGGGCATAGTTCCAGTGTCTTCCCCCAGAGGATGAGGGTGGGGCTGCCTGTGCCAAGCTTCTAATCCAGATTTGGTCTTTTGGTGTCCAGCCCCACCCAGTAGCCCACCCAGGGTCACCTCATTGGAACAAAAGATGCTCTTCTCAGCCCTGAAATGATGAGGGCTTAGGAACTCATGCCAAGAACTGGAGATGCGACCAAATATATATTTCATATTATGTCACAACAGCCCAACAGCCTGACATGTGCTGCCTGTGTAACACTGGGCAAGCCACCACCCTGTGCCTCAGTTTCCCCACTTGCCACTTCACAGTGTTGCTTTGAGCTTTAAATGAGATGATGCATGTGAAGTGCTGAGAACAGCATCCACCACACTGGTGGCCTTGGGTGTCCGCCCTTACTGAGGGTGATTCTGGCTAGAGAGGGAGGTACAGTGAGGGGGGCAAGTCATTTGGGTCATACTGACCCTTCTCTGAATGGAAACGCACTCAGGGTTGGTGGAAAGGGGAGCCATTTGGTAAGTACACCATGCTTCTATTTTCACAGAGAGGTATATGTGTGCCTATATGCATGCCATGAAATCTAATTATATGTGTTTTCTATCTATACACACACATGTGTATGGGTCACTGCTCATGTTTTTTCATCTCCAGATAAATATGTATAGTAATATATGTATTACATATTTCACATACATAGAAATGTATGTATAAATAGTATATATACACACACATATGGATATACTAGAAGACTAAACCAATACACCATTAGCAATGGTTTCCTTTGGATATGGGAAATAGAAGTGATTTTAAATCTAGTCTTTCTGTTTACTGTAGTTACCAAATTTTCTATGCTGAAAATAACATACTAATTTTTAAATTAGAAAAAGTTCTTACAAAATAATATTTAAATTAACTCAGCATCAGATTCCAAAACTAAGAGTTTAAGATGGAAGCTAAATGCCGTTTATTGTGAGAGAATACTGTTCACATGTTTGCATATAAACATATAGACTCGTTTTAACATTATTTGTGCTGGGCGATGTCATCAGACTGAAGACAGGAGAAGGAACGAATTAGGCAAAACAGACCTCAGCCGTTTGGAGAGCTGGGACGCGGGTCAGTCTGCGTGCTTTTAACGTGCTGGGTTTTGTAAGCACGGGTGTCCAGGTCCCACAGCAGGTTCTTCTCAGGATCTAGCGGCCCTGAGCCTTCAGGCTGTCCTGCAATCCCCGAGGGCAGTGCAGCACTTCTGGGGAACAAGGGGACAGCCTGGATGAGGAGGCTGGTGAGACTGCCAGATCCACTCTGGGGCCCTTGGTCCCTCCGAAGATACCTCCTTCCTGGTTGAGGGACATCAAACAATACACACAACACTAAAAAGATACAAATAAAGGTACTCACACTGCATTTCAGATTGTTCACTGATTCATAACATGCTGATAAGTGCCTTGTTAACATTTTTTTCCTAAAATAAAGTTCAGTCTACTGTATTCACGGTGCTCAAGGCTCTATTTTTTATTTAAAAACAAAAACAACATCTGAATGGAAACTGAAGTTTGGAGATATGAATGATCTTTCCCCAAACTGAGTACAGTGGGGCAGGAGGAGGGTGGGCTCAGGAAATAAGAATGCAAAGAGAAATCTAGCAAAATCAGCCTCCCCAGTGGCTAATCCTCATTAGGCACAGCTCTCAAGTGAAGATAGTGAAGTAGGAATAAATTTTCCCTCCTTTCCACTTACACTAAGTAATCACATCCTTAATTTGTGGTCACAAGAACGAGATGCAACATCAGCAAAGGGAAAGAACAGATGAATTTGTAAGAATTGTACTTTAGTAAACTTTCTGTGCAAAAACCCCATCACCTCTGGGACCCTCCAGCAAATTGCACTCTGAGAGGAAAGAATTGACGAGTGTAGAACCCCAAACCCACCTGTTTTTCCCTAATTAGGTCCTGCTCTGGCCACAGGAATTTCCTGACATAGGAATAATTTAACACACCATGCTTTTATTTTTAGCCTGTCAAAATTAAGAAAGTTTGTCCATTAAGTATTTAGATTTATTTATAATTTTTGTATTTGTTGGGATTTTTACCTTTTAGCAATGAACAATGCACACTTCTCTCTGGGCTCAGTCTGGCCTAAGAGAAGTGGCAGCAGTTGGCTCCCAGCTTTGGGTGGCCTTCGAGAAGTCCTCCCTGCTCTTGATATAACTGTCCCCCACTCAATGTCTGTGCTGCAGACTCTTGACTTCTTCCCCCATCTGACCTCTCGGGCTTACGGCCTCCTCTACTCTCCTGGCCAGGCTTTTCTGGGGTGCGTGCCAAGGCTCTTGTCTCCTACATCTCATCTGAGTGCCCTCCGCCCTCCGCTGGGTGGGTGTGCCTCCGTCCCTGGTTTCTGGCCCCGGTCTCCCTCCCCAGCTCCGGGTCTGCTGTCAGCACATCTCGTGAGCACTCTACCTGGGCCTCAGCAGTGGAGATGGAGCCCTCCGCACTCTTCACATTTCCCTCTCCCTTATTTTTCCATGATGTCAGTGTCATCATTGCCCCCCAGGCCCCCACAGTTATTAGTTCCTTCATGATTGCCATGCCGTACCGAGCGCCTATGGTGATGCAGGTCCTGGGGTAGGTACCGGACATCTGCTTCTCAAGTTTGTGCTTGCGTCACTGTGTTATACAGCTTCTTATTTAAGCTCCAGTAGGAGAGAAATCTTTCTCTCATCTGTCTGATCATGTAACTTCATGATTAGAAGTCTCCACTTTTCACTACTGACCACTGAATTCCAGAGACCTTAGCCTCAGGTCCTAGCTGCTTTGCACCCTCTCCTCCCGTCTCACTTCTCCCCGTAACCCACACCCAGTCAGATCAGACTGCTTGCTGTTCTGCACGGACCACAGAGATTCCATCACTGAGATCCGACTTGCTTTGCTTTCTCTGCCTAGCATCTTCTTCCATTCCATCCACATGTGCAAATCCTTCTGTCAATCAAAGTATGTCAGAAGGCATTTCCCGAAACTTCTTTCTGATTTTCCTGAGTCTCCTGTCATCTTCCATGACATGCTCAAGGAAGCATCAGGACTTCCCTTATAACACTGGCCCACGTCTTCTTAATATCAGGGAGATTCTCTTGTTCACTCAGAAGTAAGTTACTGGAGAGTAGAGTTTGTGTCTAGCTCATGTTTGCATTATTGGAGGGAGACATTAGCTCATTCAAGGATTTCCTCAGTGAGTTGCACTGAGGGAAGTTACTAGGTTAATACTGTACTAATACATCAACAGGCTTAGAGGGTGAGATTCCATAGCTTCCTAAGGTCAGACACTGGGCTACACAGAGATGTATAAGTGCAACGAACAATTTAAAGATACATATTCTGTCTTGGGAGAAAATGGTTGTCTCCCTGACATCTGCACTGCGTCAGTGACCATTGCCTCCTGGGTTAGTCCTGGGACTGGTCTCCATCTCTGACACCGACATTATCTGCCAATGCTTAGGTGATCATGACCAAGACTTGGGGTCATTCCTGGGCTGGTATCTGATTTAATAAAGGAAATATAACACTGCAGTTCTCACTATTGTGGGTGACTTTTAGTTCCTGTAATGATAGGAACTGGGGGACTTGAGGGAACTCAGCATTTAAAAGAAGAAAATCTTGATATTGTGATTTGATGAGTTTAGAGAAGCTATTGCTCTGAGAATTGTTGCAAAGATGATGTGAACTGGAGTAGAAGTCTGCCTCTAATCTGAATAGATTAAATCCATTGAACCTTGTTGCCACCACATAGAGCTATGTTTGGCCATAAGGACAATCTGTTGATGACATGGACAGCAGCATGGGTCATGGTTAGGACCACATCCATGGAATCCGGTGTGGGCTGCAGACACAGCTTCTGTACCTTGCCATGTCTCATTCCCTCATCTGCATTAGCATAAACTTTAGCAGGTGTTTATGATAATTCAATGAAATAGCAAATGGCCAGTGTGTTTCCCTGTGTCTGGCACACAATAGGCACTGAAGGAATAGATAAGGGAATAGTGAAGACTGTACCAGTTGGGAAAGTCTCGGGAGGTATCATGTCCGTCAGGCTGAGGAGTGACATCCTCTGACAGGTGATGGACAGTTATTGGTGGGTGCTCAGCAGGGGTTACTGTTCAAAGCAGAGTTTTGTGATCATTGGTTTTAGAATGATAGTGAAAAGTGAACTGGATGAAAAAGAAGATAGAGATGCTCAGGATATAATTGCATGCATGAGTAATGAATATGGTGGTGCAGATGGAAACAAAATGCACATAGAAGAGACCTTGAAAAAAGAGATCCAAAAGCCAACTGGTAAAAATATGACAGGGATTCTTTGAGGAAACTCTTTCAGTTAGGAGACTGAAGCAGGGGAGAATAGGAATACTTGGGGGTAGAGTTAATTGGGTGAATGCTCAGTTCAATATTCAGTCTATTGAATTAGACATGGTTTGCAGCATTAATTAGTGGAGATGAACAGAGGAAAGTTGGGGGTGGGGACTAATGATGAAGTGAGATTCCGAGGCAGGTATTCAGATTTAAAGCTGGCCTCACCAGCTAGAGCCACAGGAAGGATGGGCCTGTGAGAGAGAAGAGTGAGGAGCAGAGGGGAGCTTAGGAATCCCGTGATGATGGTGTAGTCTGGGGAGCTCGGGGGAGAGGACTGGGAGAAGGGAGGAGGCCCTGCTACGTGATGTCAGAGCTGAGCAGTAACTGAGGACAGGCCAGCAGGTGGTTAAAGAAGGACTGGGAGCTGCACTCCCGTCCCCAGCCTTGTCTACGGTGCAGTCCTGGTGGGCGAGGTGAGGAAATCTGGATGGACCACGTTGGTAGGGAGGAGAGGCGCCTGCCTGTGGTTTGTGAGCATCAGTCTGCTTCTGCTGTAGTCTTGGTGGCTAATGGGGAGCTTTGGTGTCTTGAATGGGATGCCAAATTGTAAACTTTTTTTTGGTGCCTGTGGGGAGATTCCCACCTGTCTACTGATTTCCTGAGTAAGTAGGATGGTTGAGCTCCATTACCCATTCGGGAAAACAGAACTCTGATAAAATTCTCAGAGCTCATTTCCTCACCAGGGCTGCACTTGGATAAAGCTTTGTAATTGGACTTTACAAAGGATTATTTCAGGATGTGTAATGTGACAATCTGTGTGTGTGTGTGTGTGTGGTGCTTTTTTAGAATTTGGTTTCTGTTGAGAGACTAACAGATACGCCTCCCGCCTGCCCTGGGCTCAGCACACTCCCCTCCCAAACCCTGCAGCCCCCCAGTCCTTCGCGGTTTGGTTCTGACGGCTAAGGCAGGCGTCTCATGCTCTGTGCTTTATGGGAGTGTCTGTAAAGACTAGTAAATACAGTCTGGATTCATCAGAGCCTCTAACACACTGAACTCATCTATCTTCCCTTGATGTTTTGTAGCAGCGCTCTCATACTACTCCTATGTCTGAGGACGTGGAAATGACATGACCACAATAATGATAGCAAAATTCATTGCTATTTTATTTTCCTTCAATGCAACTGGAATCAAGTACAATTTAGTATTGACCACATAGTAGTGATGTACATTTATGCCCCCAAAGGCCCAGCGGACGTCAGTGCGGTCAGGAGGGCTGGAGCCCAGGGAGTGAAGGGCTCAGGGTCCATAGCAGTGTTGAGGGCCCCCACCTGGTCTCCACAGGAAGGGGCGCAGCAGGCCGGCTGAAATTAATGGAAGAAATTAGTGGAAATGAAACCCAGAACACATCTTCTGTGGTCTCGTGGGGTCTTGTTCATACCCGAGGTGACCGGTGATGATTCTCTGCTTGGCATCAGTTATCCAGATAAGAGAGAAGAAGGAACCGGAGGTGGCCTCCATGGCAGGCTGAAACGGTCAGCTGGCAGAGGCCATTCATGCCCACAGACAAGACAGGGGTGAGCGAGTGGGGGCCGTGGACACGCGGGAACTTCTGCTCTGGGCTCTGGCTGCCTTTCCCTTCACCTCCTACTGCTTGCCCAGGCTCATCCTAGGCCCCACACATCCAGAAGAGTTCCCTGGCATGGACAGAGTTCACTCTACTAGTCAGATGGAAATTTCCCACCTGCTTTACCAAATTGCCATCCCAAGTGACAAATAGGTCACCAAGCTGTGCCTATATTCAGTATATTTTCATCGTATACTTCTTGCATCCTTCCAATATTATTGCTGGGCAAAGACCCAGACAGTGTCTGCAGGCAGCTTACTGTGTCCTCTAAAATGCCCTGCACCACATATGCTAAGAAGCAACATCTTCTATCATGAGCGACGTGACCCACTGCCGTGTATTTCTCCTTGTTCCTGAAGACACAGTGGTCGGATGGCTGGTTCATCCTGGGCAAGCAGGAGGCAGACCACCATGTCTCATCACCACACTTGCTCTAGGACATTTTGGATGCGTGAGGGCCATGCAGATGGCTGGGATTTCAGGATCAGCCGGGGGGTGTCCAGGTGGTAGGTCGTGTCCATTGGCTGCCTCTCAGACTTTTGGTACAAAGAGCAGAGTGATGCTGAGAGCAGGCAGGCAAAGCCATCTGCGTGAGGTCTGCTCTCGGCAGGCTGCAAGAGGCACAGCTAAGTATGGTTGGGATGAGTCTTTCCCCATGAAGGTCTCATCCTGTTGAGAGCAGGGGGATGGGTATTTCTGTTGGTAGGACTTTAATAAGCAAATATTTACATGGTAGGAAGAGGAATAGGTCTTGTGATGTAGCTGGCTTCTCTCCCTGTGCACTCTGCCCGTCACCTGTCCCATGCACTCCAGTTTTCCATGTTTTTTTCTGGTCATGGCCCTGGCTAGCGGATGGAACCGAGCAATGCCAGGTGGGCAGCTCACTGGGCACACAGACTTCTCCCCCATGCTCCCCAGGCACATGGGGGAGCATTCTTGTCCAAAGCCTGTATTTTGGAAGGCTCAGGCTTAGTTCTGTCCCTTCCTGGCCATGTCACTCTGGGCAAATTATTTAACCTCTCAAGGTTCCTGTCTCCTTACCTGCCATCTGAGAGTAATCTTAGTACCCATATCTCAGCAGTGCTATCGGGGTAAATGAGATGGCCGTTTAGAGAGCTCTGCCCATCAGCAGCATTAAAGAAATGCTGGGTCCTTTGATCCTCTCCATCTGTCATTCACTGGCCCATTGTCACTGTCCAATGGAGCTGTTTTTTTTAAACTTATGCAAAGAAAGCTGTCCTACTTGATTAGTGTTACAGATTCTAGTCATTCCTGATGGTAGCTACCTTAAAATGCAAGAATTATCCTACCTCCCTTCCAAATAATTAATTCCTAAATGTCAATTCAGGGCTACCATTGAAATGCAAATGTTATTTCTACTAGCTTGGAGTTTTAATGTCACCCATGATCTTTTATCTTTTTATCTAGAGAAGGTAGAAAAGAAATACATTTTTACTACAAAAAATAAATAGTAATTATGTGATTTGATGAAGGTGTTAGGTAACCGTACAGTGGTGGTCATTCTGCAATATGTAAGTTACCAAATCAGCATTTATGCCCATTAAACTTACACAATGTTTGATGTCAGTTATATCTGAGTAAAACTGGAAGAAAGGAAATACATTTTATGTTCATTTCCTGCCAGCCTTCTTTGAACTAAAGTTAAAAAGCAAGGCATGTATTAAACTATGCAACTTCTAGGGTAAATTTTTTTTTTTCTCTTTAGATGCTCAACAGACTAAAGAAGGAAGTCTGATACCAGTGGAGCCTCAGACTAGAAAGGGGCTCCAGGGGCCACATGGTTCACCGTCCAGGAAGAGAAGGACCGTCAGGGCTGCTGGTCGTGATCCCGCTTCCATGCTAGCACCACCTGGGGCCCCTTAGAAATCCCAGTGCTGGGCTGTGCCCCAGACCCACGCGATCAGAGCAACAGCGTCTCATGACTCACATGATCCTAACAGCAGCCACGGAGCACTGGTGATTGAGAGATGCCTCTGCTGCTGCAGACCCATCATTAATGAAGGATCCCAGCAGTGAGGGCTCAGCGCCTTTGGGTGGTTAGTTACTTGATTAGAGTCCTCATCAGTTCACGCTGTTACAGTAAAGCACCACAAACTGGGTGCCTTATAAAGAAATTTATTTCTCACATGATGGAAGCTAGACGTCGTCAGGGTGCTGGCACGGTAGTTCTGGTGAGAGCCCGCCTGCAGGGTGCAGACAGCTGTCCTCTCATTGTGCCCTCACATGGTGGGAAGCGAGCTACCTAGTCCCCGGACCCTTCCTGTCAGGTCACTAATCCCATTCCTGAGGGCACCCCCTTCATGACCTGATCGCCTCCCGAAGGCCCTTCCGTGCACCATCACACTGAGGATTAGAATCCAGCATATGATCTCGGGGGGACACAGCATCCAATGCATAACACTGAGTAAGCCAAAGTGGCCACCAGTGGGGGAAGCGGACTGCAGTGCACTGTGTCCAGTGGTCCCTCCCCGTGCTCCCCCCACAGCCCCCTCCCCTGCCACAGTGAATTGGTACCATAGGGAAATGCAAATTGAGGTATACCAGATATTCTGTTTATGAAGAAAAGCTAGAAGTGCAGTTATTTATGCCCTCGGTTGTAAATGTGAGTGCGTCATTTAAAGATTTAGAGCAAAGTGGGAAAAACGTGCTGCGTGTGTGGGTCCCTGAGTTTGCAACCTCAGCTGTGTGGGGTGGAGCACCTCTCTGAGGAACCCCAGGACAGCCAGGGCCTGGGTACTGTGTGGGGAGAAGGAAGTTGGGGAGTAGGGCCAGCAAAGGGGGCAGTGGAGATGGTGAAGGTGGGAGGGGAGCTGTAGGCAGACAGCAATGCTGTGGACAGAGAGGGCAGGCAAGGTGCTGCTGGCACATGTTGGCTTTGTGCTTGTGGCTGTTCTTGGGCTTCCCTCCTTCCCAGTTATGCCTGATTAGAAGGAGCCGCCAGTCTCACTACCAGAACCCCTCTGTGCTCCCCCTTAGTCTACCAGGATCCCTCAGAGGCCCCCCATGCTGAGCATGCTGGAAGTTCCCTGTGTTCATAGGAGAGGCTGAGGCTTTGCACCTAGGCTGGTCATGGGAGGCACCTGTGGGCTGTGATGGGGACACGTTGGGGTGCAGGAGGCAGGAGGAGCCCCAGAGAGCCGAAACTGACCATGGCCAGCTGGCACTGGAAGTTCCTTAGTCAGGGGCCACTTCCTTTGGCTTATCCTGAGGGGTCCCTGGCCTGAACTCTGAGAATGCCAATGATTCAGAACACGAATGCTTCCCAGGTTACAAAGAAGCACAGACCAGGGTGGGGTGGACTGGGTGTTGGCTTTATCACGGGCATGCAGGGGATGGGGCCAGGGGACAGCAGCAGAACTCAGGAGAGTGAGTGTCACAAGGAGAGCGGGACATCCCTAAAGCCAGTGTCCGAGGACCGAGGTGGGTGAGGGGCCCCAGGGGTCCTCAAGCTCTGGAGGCGGGAGGAGGTCAGAGGTGGGGCAGCCGAGGGAGGTCACACGTGGATGAGTGGTGAATGCTTGGCCATCCTTGGAGCATCTTATACACTCAGCTGTTGAAGTTAGAAGGCAGAATGGCCACTGCCCAAAAGGCAAGAAATAGCATTTGTTGGCGAGAATGTGGAGAAAAAAGAACCCTCCTACACTGTTGGTGGGAATGTAAATTGGTGCAGACACTGTGGAAAGCATAAATCTAAAAATGCAAATACCATACAACCCAGTAACTCAACTTCTAGGATTTACTCAAAGAAAATAAAATCTCTGATTTGAAAAGATATATGCATCCCTATGTTTATTACCTCATTATTTATGATAGCCAATATATGGAAGCAACCAAAGATAGATGAATAAAGATGATGTGGAACATATACACATTGGAATATTATTCAGCCATAAAAAAGAAAGAAATCCTTCCATTAGTGGCAATGTGGATGGACCTAGAGGGTATTATGCTAAGAGAACTAAGCCAGGCAGAGAAAGACAGGTACCATATAATTTCACTTACATGTGGAATCTAAAAACAAAACCTCAATCATAATATAGATTAGTCATTGGGATGAAAGTGCGGCATGAAAACATAATCAGTAGTTCTGTAACATGTTTCCATGTTGACAGATAGTAACTACACTAGTTGGGGTGAGGATTTAATAATGTAGATAACTGTCAAATCACTGTGTTTCATACTTGAATCCAATATTGTATATCAACCATGCTTCAATAAAAAACATAAACAAAGAAGGTTACTCTTAATCATCTTTTTTTAAAAATATAATTTGATTATTTTATTGAGAGCGGATTGAGTAGGAAGTGGGAAGAAGGAAGGTTTAAGCAAAACAGTGGTTGAAAGGCAAGGATGGGGAGAAGGCACATGATGGGGAAGCAGAGGGTCGAGGAGAAACATCCCACTCTTTCCCAAAGCCAGCCCAAGACTCTGCTTTCACGTCAGGCTGGGCCGTTGATGACCACCAGAACTAAGATATCCAGTGCCTGTTAAAAGAGAAATCTCATCCTATTCTGAAAGAATTGTTGGTAATCATGGACTATTTTAAGCAATGTGGAGAGCTGGACAATGGGTAGAGTAATTTGAACTCAAAATTAAAGCAGCTCTTTGCTTGGATAGTTCAGCTGAAACCTTCACTGGGTAGTGTGAGTGGCAGAGCTGATATACTAATTCTGACAAGATACAGAACCGTTATCTGTGCCTGAGGCCCCTACGAGTTTGGAGAGGCACTAGAGGCTATGCACTGTACCATGCACAATGACAGAAGGCTGGAAGGGACCGTGAGTCAGTCTCAAAGGGGTCCGGTGCTGGGAACTCAGAACAGACGTTCAGGTGTGGAGAGAGGTCAGGGACAGCCTGACGTGTGGGCCCCTGTGGCTTCCCAGAGCACCACCTCCTTGCGAACGGTTGGATCTTGTGGCAGAAGAGCCGTCTGCCAGTTCCTGCTGAGCAAGGCTGACACCCACCCTCGCTGACACATTGGGGTGAGAAGAGGCTTCGTGGTCTTGGACCGACACGGGATCTTGTGTGGAGGAATGAGTGAAGGTTACCGTGTCCACCCCTGTTCTGACATGACCAGGAAAACAGTGGCCACGGGGAGCCCAGGCTCCACAGTTGCTGTCACCTGACCTTTTCCTTTGGCTCCTTCCCTCTGATCTGGAGGATGGTGCGTTTGCTGCCTCCAGGGCCCTGCTGGGAGCCCAGGGCATGCAGACAGCCCAGCAATGGGCTGCACCCCTGAGGGCCCAATGCCCAGCACAATGATGTGCGGTGGTGACTTAACAGGGACCTGGCCGGGGAAGGAGGGGCACGTGCTGGACAGAACAAGTCCGTCATTACCTGCTTGTCTCCTTGAAAACTCATAAAGAAGGGAAATTAAAACCCACTTCCCCACCACACTGGCTGTCATCCTGTAAAAAAACATGGGCCAATGCTTTATTCTGGTGTTTTAGAGACCGCTTTTCTACAAAAGATGTGCAGAAAGGTGTAAGGATTGATTTGACTGCAGTGAATCCCATTAAGCACCTTGAGGTTTGTGCATGTGAGCTGGAGCCTGACACAGTCACAATCTGGAAGAGTCTTCTGAGGAAGTCAGGGCTTCACAGGAGGGCCTGGAGGGGACGCTGGCTAGCAGCTCCTTGCTGTGAGGACTGAGAGGAGGCCACCCAGGTACGCTTCCATGGGGCAGAGCCGTCACCTGGTCCCGGCAGCTCTCCAGAGATGGACGCAGCAGCTGTCGTGGCCTCAGCAGCCTAGTGTCAAGAGAGGGCAGTATCACTCCGGTTCTGTCACTGCTCTGTGGCTCCTGCCGATGGGCACCCGGACCTTGCATCCAACGTCTTCCTGTCCTTGCATCCAACGTCGTGCCTGCTCCAGCCAGGTCCTCGGAACACAAAGTGGAAGATGGAAGTGTATCAAGACTCATGAACTCTATCATCAGTTCCAGCCAGTGTCGGGGGGCCACACAGTCAGGGCCTGAGCAGCTGTGACTCAGACCCCCAGCAGACACACCGCTAGGGACCTGGGTGAGGGAATCTGACCTCGCTGCTTCTGCTCTCCTGTCTGTGAGTTGAAGAAAGCAGTAAATGTCCTGGGTTGTGGAGGGGACTGAAGTGAGGTACCCAGCTGTCTGCAGAATACCGGGTGCTCCGCCAGGTCACAGGAAATGGGAGGGCAGCTCCTGTGGTCTGAAGGCCAGTGGACAGGAAGCTTTGCTGTCCCGGAGCCCCACGCAGTGAAGGTGCCCTTCACGAGCATGTTCTGGGCATCCAGGATGCCCCAAGCCCTGCTCCAGCTCTTGGAGATGACTGAGAAGAAGGGGCAGGCACTGGTGTGAGGGAGCCATGCGTCACCAGGGGGCATAAGCACCTTGGGGGGAGCATGGTGTGTGGTGTCCCACTGCTGCTATAACAATGGACGGCAGCCAGGTGGCTTCAAGTGATGATTTATTTTCACACATTCTTGAGGCCTGAAATCCAAGATCGCAGTGTCAGGAGGGTGGTTCCTTCTGAGGTAGTGAAGGGGTACCTCCCCGGTGTCTGGGGACAGGTGGAGCCACCTCTCCGGCTCTCAGTGGCATTTCATCACTGGGGTCTGCCTCTGGGCCACACGCCCTCCCCTCTCAGTATCTCCTTTTCTGCCATAGATGCCACCCCAGTCTGGGACGATTTCATCTCAAGACCATTACCTTAATTACATTCAGCAGAGGCTCTAATAAGGGTCACATTCTGGGACTCCAGGTGGTTGTGTGTTCTGGGTGGCCACCATCGACTCCAGGCACATGGGGGCACGGAAGCGCCCTGCTGGTGTGGCTGCCGGGAAAGGCAGCCTCTCTGCCCCATGGAAGCCCTCAGGGAGGGGAGACGAGAGGGTGGGCTGGGTGTAGTGAGCAAGGCGCATGGGTGGAGGCCAGGAGGCAGACGGTTTGGAGGTGCCCTACTGTCCTGT